GCACGTAAAACCCAAGTTCTAGATGAAGACCAATCCAGGAGTAGACAAACAACCAAGTTTTTGTGTTCGAATCTCCATCGAGTCATGTTTTTTAACAATAACCTTGGCTTTCAGGTCGTCCCAGTCTGAACTAGATACCCGGTAGAGTCCTCGGAAGTAAATGCGGCGACGCTATGTTAACCAGAATTATCTACGGCCGATTGTTCTATACAAATATAATCCTAGCATCATATACCGGATGGGACATGGGTGTGTAAAGCCACGGGTGTGTAAAGCTACGGGTGTGTAAAGCCACGGATGGGTAAAGCTACGGATGTGTAAAGCCACGGATGTGTAAAGCCACGGGTGTGTAAAGCTACGGGTGTGTAAAGCTACGGGTGTGTAAAGCTACGGGTGTGTAAAGCTACGGGTGTGTAAAGCTACGGGTGTGTAAAGCCACGGATGTGTAAAGCTACGGATGTGTAAAGCCACGGATGTGTAAAGCCACGGGTGTGTAAAGCTACGGGTGTGTAAAGCTACGGGTGGGTAAAGCTACGGGTGTGTAAAGCTACGGGTGTGTAAAGCCACGGGTGTGTAAAGCTACGGGTGTGTAAAGCTACGGGTGTGTAAAGCTACGGGTGTGTAAAGCTACGGATGTGTAAAGCCACGGATGTGTAAAGCTACGGATGTGTAAAGCCACGGGTGGGTAAAGATACGGGTGTGTAAAGCCACAGGTGTGTAAAGCTACGGATGTGTAAAGCTACGGATGTGTAAAGCTACGGGTGTGTAAAGCCACCTTTACTTACATTATTCATTTTGAAATCAATTATTTAAATTAAATTCGTTTATTACGCCATGTTTCAAGCGCCATGTAATCGCTAGTTTAGAATATCACTGCTAAATACCGGTGTTTTGGTAATTATCTTAGCTATGCTGGTGTTAACTAATGAAGAAAGAGTATTTTTGGGTTCAGCATGTGTTCTTTAATGGTGGCAGGTATTGGAATGTGGTTGTTCAACAATTTATGATGTCAGTTCCTTATGCCTAAGGGCCTCATCCTAATACTCTTAGCAGTTTAACCAGTGGACTCAATTGTGAACAGAGCTGTAAAGTGGAAAACAGTACCCAAAGTAAGTCACGCTATAGCAGTATATGAGGCATTAACTCCACAGACGGTGATTATAAAAGCAGGAATGGCAATATTTAAAAAACAAATACAGTCATTAAAATTGAAACCAAATCTGTGTGGCTTGAACGGGATATAAATTATATACTTATATGTTGATTTGTTCAGGTAAACAGACAATCGTAGCTTCAGTTTCATCGCAAACAGGTCATCCTAATTGCTCCGTTTCTGTGTCAACGAAAACCACACATAATTTCTTTTTTTAGGTCGTCCGGAAAAACTGGTACAAATGCAGTCTCAGCAAATCTAATAGTTCACACACGCATTTAATGCATAAGAGCGATCAGATGCTAACACAAACAGTTTGTTTTTGTTTTTTGTTTTGTTTTACCCCGAGCTGAATATAAATCGTTAATTACTTACACCGTATATATATTTTGTAAATGTATGTGAGTTCACATAGTATTTATGTTTTGTACACGTATGTGAGCTCAATCAAACACTTACTCATAAAGTGCCTTGGCGAATGACTTGGGCGATCCTGCCTCATCGGAAACTGCGATTTCGAGTAGCATGTATCAGTTCACGTGCAGATATCCATCTGTGCCTCAAAAAAAGGATATCAAGCTTCTTCTAGAAATATGTCCAGTTATGAAATGTTGCAGTTTCCATCTTCTCATTTGTGTTTCTTTGGCATCTATCCGTCTTTCCATACCAAATTATTATGTTCCGGGGAAGCATGAGACTCACAGCCCGCGGCGATGGCGAGTGTGACTAGCAAGACACGCCAGGTTTAAAGAAAGCCTTCCACAGTTAGAGCTATGTATTTCAAGAACGTGCTGCCATCATATGGGTTTAGTGTGATTCCTCTCAGACGCGCAGCTCTCATCCTTTGTGCAATCATTTTTTTTAGCTTCATTCTCATCCCCCTCCTGGTGTGCCCCCTCCTTGCAGTACCTCAATACCTGTATCATTTATGTCCCACTGGCACATATCCTTAAATCGTAGTAAAGGCCGGCTTCGAGAACATCTCATATTAAGGTTAGTTGCGTTTCCTTTACATGACGTTGCAGAACCAACTCCAACAGCCCCTGGCTATTGTGGAGTTTTTCTAGGCAAATTTACGTCCAGTAGTTTGCCATTTCTTTCTGGACGGTCAGCTTTCTTGATACCACTGTCGAAACCAAAGCAAGGCGCGTGACCCGCAGCTGGGATCGAACCCGGCATCCCGGCATTACGAAGCGTTCGCATCGACTTAGCCACAGGGCCGACACATCTCATCAAGTCTCCATAAAATAACTTCTAATATCAGTCTGTGATAAGGTATCTTCCAGCAACCTGTCACAAAAATCAGGAGACACACATATAACCACAGTACAATCCCCATGGAGGAAGGGCACTGTACACAAAATACCTCTCAGATAAATCACAAGCCGTTACAATGAAGGAATGAAAGTGGCTTTAATTAACGAACATCCGTGTCTATAGAAATATTAATATCCTTAGACAAAAACATCAAAATCCGGAACATTAAATGTCAGCAAGTTTTAAAAATAACTCCTCAAAGTAATCCCAGAATACACTGGTAGTCTTGTCACGCTGCCATTTGTTATGGCGTCATTTCCGGGAGCCAGTCACGGTGATTTGATCACGACAAATGCTCGGGACAGGTATAAAACTCTCACCTGCGTCTATGGAAACAAGGACAGGTTAGCAGACGACATCGGGAGGTTCGGACTGTGGGTTGTTGGACAAGATTTAAGATAAATCAAAGACTCGTTAGGAAAGTATACAAGAAAAACAAAGTAAAGTTATCAAGGTAAAGTATCTATTCTGGTAAGGGTATTTGATATCTTAATTATGCAATGACACCCATGAGTTTGCTCATTATCACTTCTGTCTGTCAGTTAGTCTGTCTATCAACATGTGTTTGTCTGTGCATTAATCTATCTACTTACTTGCGTTTGCTTGCTTTTTGTCTTTCTGTATGTTTGTCTTTTTGGGTCGCTCTATCGCGCGTCTGCCTATTGTGTAAATAAAGAAGGTGTAGTTGAGCTTTTGTTTTCTATAAAAGAAAATGGGCCAGTTCTGGTTGTTCGTCCACCTCTTAGCTCATGTCCTGTTCCAGAACCTGAGTGTTGCGTAACTGACTTATCTGAATGCAGATTGTTGGTTATTATTATTATTATTATTATTATTATTATTATTATTATTATTATTATTATTATTATTATTATTATTATTATTATTATTATTATTATTTCCACTGGTCTGACCTGCGGAGTCATTTCAGTTCAAAAAAAATTTACGGAAATTGTCGGCGAAGTAAAGGCGACTATTCAAATGTAGACCAAATGACTAAAAAATAACACACAACTGTACAATATCCCAAATTGATTGTGTTTTGTTTTTCCATCCACACATTTACTGAAAAAGACAACCGTAATATGTGTGTTTTCCCAATTTTACACTGATAAACATTTTTGTTTAATGTCTTTCACCCTGCCGACCTTAATACGTTTGTCCTTCAATCGTGCCAGTTGTCGCATCCCCCTCCTCCCTCCCCCCGTATATATAATGAATATTGCCGCTTGTTTCTTTATTTTCCGGAGGACTAAAAAAGGAGGGAGCTGATGGGGTCGGGGAAAAGGGGGCGGGAAAAAAAGGGGGAGGGGGAGTGTTAATGTCCTTGAACTGAATGTGAACCTGTGTGTGAGTGACAGACGTTGATTTGTGTCCAGTCAAGATGTTGGATTTGTTAGGGCTATCACTGAAGACACAATGGGCACTGGCCGTAATCTACGTGTGTGGGGCTTTAAAATACATGTGTGTGTGTGTGTGTGTGTGTGTGTGTGTGTGTGTGTGTATGTGTGTGTGTGTACCTCAGTACCTGTATCATTCATGTAGAAAAAAGAAGAAGAAGAAGAAATCAACATATCAATAGAATTGACATTCTAAAAATCTTACAAAGTAAAGACAGACAAGGATAGATCCACACGAGACTGTGTTCTTACGGGATCTTAGCCCTTCCAACAAACCTATAGATGCTCCGTTTGCCTTTTATTAGTCATTTGTCTAGTCTTTTCCACGAAAGACAGTCAACCGTACAATGGCGCAAATTTGTCTTGGTGAATGCATTCTTCATCTTCTTCACTTATCTGTTATCGTTCTGGGGTCAATGGAGATTAAGGTTCTGCTTTTTGCTCCTGTGGTCGTTCCATCCATAGACACATCGTGCTGTTGTAGAATTTCTCTGGTGTTATCTTTCCATCTTGTTCTTGGTCTACCTCGTGGCCTACGTCCTTCTCTTTAGGTTTGAGGTTCGAACAGATCAACATCGTGGCACACGGGTAGTAACCCATAAGTGCTCCGTTCTTCTTCTAACTCAAGTCTGAGTCCGAAGAAGCTCAGCACATTGCACAGGCTCTGTAACACCGGCGAGGATCCTGAAATACTTTGAGTAGAATTTTAACTCCATATTGTACCCGGGCAGCGCTTTAAGGCTACTCTCTTCGATTTCCAACTGCCAAGGGAATTTTTTACGTACGCAACAATGCACACGGGCGTCTGATCTCACTACCCAGAAACTGGGGGGAATTACTAGAAGTCTAACTCCACGTGAAAAAAATCCCCGCTGTAAAAGGGGATTGAACCCGGAACCTCTAGCACTCGAGGCGGACACCATGCCTCGAGACCACGCAGCCCCCTATAAACGTCCTTCTCTTTGGGTATATGCCTTGTATTGTATGACGTCACACGGCATTCTCTCTAAGTGTGCCATTTGATTATATCTAGTTGTAATGTAATTTAAAATCGGTTTGACCAACATGTCAAAACGTGACAACAATATCTGGTATGTTTCTTCAGGTTAGAAGTAAACACACTCAACTAAACAATGGCAGCTCTGATGATCTTAATCGGTAAGTTTATTGGTGTTGGTCCCTTGTTTTTTTTTTTTTTCGTTTTTTTTTTTTTTTATTGCTTCACATCTTCTTCACTCACATCTGCTTCATGTCTGCTTTAAGTCTGCTTAGCATCTGCTTCCAGTCTGCTTCACATCTTCTTCACGTATGCTTCACTTCTGCTTCACATCTTCTTCACGTATGCTTCACTTCTTTCTGCTTCACATCTTCTTCACGTATGCTTCACTTCTGCTTCACATCTGCTTCACGTATGCTTCACTTCTGCTTCACATCTTCTTCATGTATGCTTCACTTCTGCTTCACATCTGCTTCACTTCTGCTTTATGTCTGCTTCCCATCTGCTTCACGTATGCTTCACTTCTGCTTCACACCTTCTTCATGTATGCTTCACTTCTGCTTCACGTATGCTTCACTTCTGCTTCACACCTTCTTCATGTATGCTTCACTTCTGCTTCACACCTTCTTCATGTATGCTTCACTTCTGCTTCACACCTTCTTCATGTATGCTTCACTTCTGCTTCACACCTTCTTCATGTATGCTTCACTTCTGCTTCACACCTTCTTCATGTATGCTTCACTTCTGCTTCACACCTTCTTCATGTATGCTTCACTTCTGCTTCACACCTTCTTCATGTATGCTTCACTTCTGCTTCACAATTGCTTTATGTCTGCTTCACTTCTGCTTCACACCTTCTTCATGTATGCTTCACTTCTGCTTCACAATTGCTTTATGTCTGCTTCACAACTGCTTCACATCTGCTTCACACCTGCTTCACATCTCCTTCACATCTGCTTTACGTCTCCTTCACATCTTCATCATGTCTGCTTCACGTCTGCTTTATGTCTGCTTCACATCTCGTTCACGTCTGTACTGGGAAATGAACAAGCAGATAGATTGGCTGGTTGTGTACAACTTGGCGATTAATTGATACAAGGTAGATGGTGTAAAAGTTCTTTGTGGGCGAGTGAACAGTGCAGGGGCACATATGGGTCATCGTGATCTAAGGAGACCGATACTGCGAGAAGTGCCCAGGGAAACTGGCTGACGCTCAACACTCACAGGAAAGGCGAGACGGGTATAGAATCAGACATTTATTGGTACTGGTGGAAATCTGCACTTGCTACTGAGAGTGGTGACGGCGCGCTTATATCTTCTTCTTTACGTCCTCTTTTACCGCTTCTGGGGTCGAGGAAGTTATAAGGTCCTACTTCGTGCTCTTCTGGCTGCTTCGACCATAGACACATCGTGCTGCTGTAGAGTTTCTCTAATGTTATCTTCCCATCTTGTTTTTCGTCTACCTCTTGCTCTACAGTCTTCTCCGCTTTTGGTATATGCCTTATATGGTATAGCATCACATATCAACCGTTGATAATTATTTTTAAAAAAAATAATAAATTGATAAAAACGATTTAATGTTTCTTTCCTTCGCTAGTGTCAATGGTGGCTCTGGCTGGCGCCGATTCTGCCGTAGACCCACACTTCACTCCACGCCCAGCCTACGTCAATGCTAACAAAGCTCCAGTAGACCCTGTACCCAGCGCTGCCACGATCCTGTCGATCCCAGTGAGCGTCGTGGCTACCAGCGACGATCCCGCTGACGACGCCAAGTCTGCTGCTGGTGTCATGAACAAAATCGTGGCTAAAGTTGTTGAAAAAGTCATCGATGTTGTAACTGATGTCAGAGAAAAGGTTGCTGATGCAGTTTCAGATTTTGTCGACGATGCTAAGGCCGGAAGCAGCTCAAGAGACCATGATGACGTCGTTTTTAAAAACAATGACAACAGCAACGAGACCAAAACGGACGACAGCGAAGAAACAGATACACTTAATGACAACAGCGATGAATTAGATGACGGAGACAGCGCAGAGAAGAGCAAGTCATCCACTAATGATAATTCTAAAGATGACGACAAGAAGATAAAAGATGATGGTAATTCTAAAGATGACGACAAGAAAATAAACGAGGATGATAATTCTAAAGATGACGACAAGAAAATAAACGATGATAATTCTGAAGATGACGACAAGAAAATAAACAATTATGATAATTCTAAAGATGACGACAAGAACATAAACGATGATGATAATTCTAAAGATGCCGACAAGAAAATAAACGATAATGGTAATGATTCTAAAAACAGAGAAAAGTCATCGACAGAAGTCGGAGACAAACAAAAAGATAACAGTAAAGAGAGAATTACTGGCAAAAATAAAGTACATGAAAGAGATGATAGCGGCGAGCGTCGTAGACAGGATAAGAAAGATGACAATAATACCAGCAATGATAAAAACAAAGACGAGGAGTCAAGTGAGAAGGCGGATGGTAAAAGTGTCTGGTCATTTTTGAAAGATCTCACGGGAGACATTGAAAACGAGTCTGCGGATGACGACACTAAAGTACGTCATTACTTGACCCGTATTTCCAAGTTCAGAGGTTACATGGACGCCATGGATTCCAACTTCGCTGTGTCACTGGCCAAACAGTCAGGTAAGAATAGATTGGTAAATAACTTAGTCTTAGTTATAGTCGAGGTTTCAACTTTCCTGCAGTCCGGTCATCTCTTACTTGCTCCGTTCCTGTGTCAGTAAAAATAAAATTAAATGACCCCCAACTGTCCCAATTGAAAAACTGGTGAACATACTATAAGTCCTGGCACAATCCAGAAACATGCGCACGTAGCAAATACATAAGGCATTTGCTAGAAACGCCAAAGCCAACAGTCGCCACCAGAAATGGAATTTGTCGATAATTTGAAGTAGTCAGGCACAATAAGTTGGTTATACATATGTAGATTTATTACATAAGGTAATTAGCCAGCCCAAATGTAAACCGGCTGCCGGCCATATTGAATACCACTACTCAACATGAAAACCACAGCTCACATTGCTGCATTAAGCACTAAACTCAGTAGCTCAGGCAGAGAAACAGTAGACTTCCGTCTGTATGTGAAAACTACATTAGCATAGCGCTGTCGGAAGAAAAAAATAACTTCGAAGCAAAACATAACTCATTGTCAACAGACTGGAGAAATTGTATATCATTAGAGTAGACCCCCGGATGGGTAGACAAACAGTCAGACTGAAACCTGTGTAGACCGATAGAGAGAAAATTTACATAAGGTACATATCATGTTATGTTATTGTATGTTACATTATGTTGTGTTATGTGTGACATTATCACAATCGACGTCACTGCTTCCTCGCACTCATCGGATGTAAAATCCGGCGGAAAGTTCTGGTTGTTCGTCCCCTTCTGGACTTTAATCCTGTTTCAAAACCTGAATTTTAAGTGCCCATCGGTTTCAAAGATCTAACTCTGTATGCAGACTGATGGTTCCTTGTCTCTAAGACAGATGCATTCCGACTTCAAAGAAAGCTCACAGTTAGTAAACTCTTACGACATGCTTATGAGTAGTGGGTCTATTCTTGTTTTCCCCACAACGGCGCCCTCGCAACCCACATGGGTTGCACATGGGTCACTGAACATTAAACATTCAGATAAGCAGGCAGGAGACGAACAATTAATCAGTATAATAATATGCATGTAACAAGCGGAGACAGCGTCACAGCGTTAAAAAAAAAATGCATTTAAACAACCCTCGTGGGCTGTCGTAGATAAATGTCACTCTGAAAACTTCCTTGTTTTGTCATTTCTCTGCTCTCTCTCTCTATAAACACATATTATGGCCTATTTTTTTCTCCCTTTCTCTCTTCTAAATCACATATTTCCAGCGCCATCTGTCTCCTTCATTTCTAGGTTACAAGTCGTCCCCATGTGGGATGCAATTTTTAGTTATTTTAAAACCCCCACCGTGGCTTTGTCGGGGGCCCTAAATATAGCCGGGCCATAAATATGGCCTAACGGCTGAACGGGGTTTCTAGGATCTCTCCACGGGTGATCCTCGTCCGCATGGTGGCACCTTGTATCACCTGGTGTTTATCGCTTGTGTGATGTCATAGTGGGGTATAACTTACCTTACCTATCCTCCATTTCTAGTCTTAACCCCCCCCCCCCCCCCATTTCTCTTTATCAGACTATATATGGGAGATAATTTGTTCTACATACATGCACTCGCAGTTGCTGCCCTTCGAAAGTGCTAACTTAGTTGAATATAAATGTATGTTTTTGCTGTTTTTATTTGATAACTTCTTTTATATCCTGTTGTCTTTGTGTGTGTTTTTGTCCGACCTTGTCTGCGTGTTGTTTGTGTCATGGACTTGTCAGACCAAACTATTTTAGCAGACACCTAACGCTCATTAGAAAATAGATGCTAGAAGGGAACTGTGAAACTTGTGTTAGAACTAAGACAGTGGCCGGAGCTGAAACAATTTTGTTAATAATGAGACAAAGATACTAACTATGTCTCTTGCGTTAACACTGAGAGAAAGGTATTAACTGTTTCTTCAGTGTTAACAGTGAGATAAAGACACGGACTGTGTGCCTGGTGTTAACACTGAGATAGATACCAGCTGGGTCATTTGTGTTAACTGGGAGATAGAGGCATCGACTGGGGTCACTTAGTTGGAAGAATTGTTAACACTGAGATAAAGACACTGACTAAGTTGCCGACGTTAACACTGAGATAAAGATACTGACTAAGTCACCGATGTGAACACTGAGATAAAGATACTGACTAAGTTGCCGATGTTAACACTGAGATAAAGATACTAAGTCACCGATGTTAACACTGAGATAAAGATACTGACTAAGTTGCCGATGTTAACACTGAGATAAAGACACTGACTAAGTTGCCGATGTTAACACTGAGATAAAGACACTGACTAAGTTGCCGATGTTAACACTGAGATAAAGACACTGACTAAGTTGCCGATGTTAACACTGAGATAAAGATACTGACTAAGTTGCCGATGTTAACACTGAGATAAAGATACTGACTAAGTTGCCGATGTTAACACTGAGATAAAGACACTGACTAAGTTGCCGACGTTAACACTGAGATAAAGATACTGACTAAGTCACCGATGTGAACACTGAGATAAAGATACTGACTAAGTTGCCGATGTTAACACTGAGATAAAGATACTGACTAAGTTGCCGATGTTAACACTGAGATAAAGATACTGACTAAGTTGCCGATGTTAACACTGAGATAAAGATACTGACTAAGTTGCCGATGTTAACACTGAGATAAAGATACTGACTAAGTTGCCGATGTTAACACTGAGATAAAGATACTGACTAAGTTGCCGATGTTAACACTGAGATAAAGACACCAAGTCACCGATGTTAACACTGAGATAAAGATACTGACTAAGTTGCCGATGTTAACACTGAGATAAAGACACTGACTAAGTTGCCGATGTTAACACTGAGATAAAGACACTGACTAAGTTGCCGATGTTAACACTGAGATAAAGACACTGACTAAGTTGCCGATGTTAACACTGAGATAAAGATACTGACTAAGTTGCCGATGTTAACACTGAGATAAAGATACTGACTAAGTTGCCGATGTTAACACTGAGATAAAGATACTGACTAAGTTGCCGATGTGAACACTGAGTTAAAGACACTGACTAAGTCGCCGATGTTAACACTGAGATAAAGATACTGACTAAGTTGCCGATGTTAATTGACACCTTTCCGTCTTTCCAGACGATAGTGTAATATAGCGCTATGGGGAAGCATGGGACTCACAGCCCATGGCGATGGCGAGTGTGACTAGCAAGACCCGCCCGCGTTAATCAAAGTCTTCCACAATGATATCATGGGATTTCAGGACCGTTGTTGTCAAATTATGTTTATTCGGTTTCTTCTCAGGCACTTAGCCCTTATCCTTTCTGCAATCATTTCTTCCTTCATTCTCATTGCCTTTCTGATGTTCCCTCTCCGCACAACACGTTCCATAGCAAGTCGCCGGCGTTAACACATAAAGGCACCCTCGTTTGAAAGATAACAAATGGGTGTTTAGTCATTACTCATTTTAATACATTTGCTTGCTCGCGATCCTACAGATGGCCTCAAATGTGGAAACTATAAACTTCCGGTGACGTCAGCTGCCAGAAACGGATTATTTAGCAACAACAAAAACGGATTCGCATTTAGTTCCCAGGACCTGGTAGCATTCAAAGCTGGGTCGACTAGGGAGCCATGGTCATTTACAAAAGTCCGGCTACGTTAGGACATAAACCCAAGACCTTCCGATCGGCAAGCCAGCGGCTAGCCGCTACACCACGCTACATACGATTATTTAGCATACCTACTGTATATGTCACGTGACCTGTTAACATCTAGCGCTGATTGGTCTATGCAAACTTGAGTCGTGCATCGTCTGTTCGAAAAAGCCACAACGTATTTTACATACTCTATATGCTGTATGAGAAGTTTATGTTTTTGTTGTCATATATTGCAGGCACCTGCCCAGTGTACCCCATACAAGTCGGTAATAACAGAGTGACCATCACAACAGAAAATGGCTGCAAAATGTAGGTCAACCGGGTGTAACTCTAGCCTTCTCTCTCTCTCTGTCTGTCTATCTCTCCTTTCTTCTTCTTGTTTTGTAATACTCTCTCCGTTTCTTTTGTTCTAATGTTTGCTACATCATGTGTTCCTTCTTTTCTTATATGAAAGAATCTAATTTTTTAATATGTTATACTCTCTCTCTCTCTCTCTCTCTCTCTCTCTCTCTCTCTCTCTTTCTCTCTCAACTGCTGTGCGAAAGATGGTTGACTGGAAGGGCCGAATGTAAGACGGGCCTGCGTGCCCAATTTGTGACCCTTTGAAAATAAAGTTCGTTCGTTCGTTCGTTCTCTCAGTTCCCATTTTTCTCTTATCTGTAATACACACACACACACTCTCTCCATTCCCTTTCTTTTGTTACATATTTAACTCTCTCTCCATTCCCAATCTTTTCTTACATGTTATTCGTTCCCATTCTTTTCTTATATGCTATACTCTCTCTCTCCATTCTCATTCCTTTCTTGTATGTTATATTCCCTCTGTCTCCATCCCCATTAATTTTTTTATATATTATACTCTCTCTCTCTCTCTCCTTTTCCTTTTTTTAATTTATCTTATACTCTCTCTTTCAGTTCTAATTTTTTTTTCTTACGTTATACAATATCCTATATGAAATATTCATATCCATATTCATTTTATCTCTGAGTCTTTTTTTTAGCTGATGTCTGATTTTTTTTTGTTTCTTTTTAACCCAGTCATCCCCTTGTGAGATGCAATTTTTCGTTATTTGAAGCCCTACTCTGGCTCTTGCCAGGGGCCGCAATATAGGCCGACCATAAATATGGTCTAATGGCTGAACGCGGTTTCTGGGACCTCGCCAGGGGTGATCCTCATCCACATGGTGGCACTTTGTGCCATCGGGTGTTTATCGCTTGTGTGATGTCCTGGTGGGGTAGAAATCTACTACAAGTTTCTGTTCTTGTCGCAGTGTCAGTTCTGTGTTGACAGGCTGAAGTATAGGCTCCACTGATTTGTCATTTTTCTTGTTTC